CCCGCTGTGCATTCTTCTTCCTCCCCTCTGAGATAGGATGCTGAATGTTACAGCCGACAGCTCATAGTTAGGAGGTATTAAATATTACAAGTTACACAGTAGTCATCATCAGTGAAACAGGTTCCATCAGCTTATGCAAGCTAGGAGCAGCCTAGTCTAATGCGAGCACCTCTGTGTGATCTGCTCTGGAGAAGAACAGAGTTATGCCGTAGGGAATGCTATGTGGAATCCTGTTTTGTCCCATCGTGCCATTAGGGTGGACGCTTGTCACTTTGCATTTTAAAAAGAAATCTTAGGAAAAGAATTACTGAAGCACTCCCTTTTGCAATGGGAGAGAAGTGTGAAGGAATGCAAACAGGAAAGACTTGTTGGGATAGCACTACTGTCTAGAAATTGTCTGTAAAGCCTGAGGTGGGGAGAGTAAGTTGGCATTTGGGTCAATGGCAGGCTTACTGTTAATGCACTTCTGCAGCAGCCTGGTAATGCATCCAAGAGCTGTTCACCTTGCTCTGGATGCGTGATAAAAAGTCAAGCAAATATACTTGTGACTGTCTCTTTCCTGGTCTTATCCCTTCCTGAAATGTCAGTTTTCTGATAGTGATTTATTCATTCATGTAGTCCTTTAATTATTTGGGTGAATCTGGTTAAACCACTTTTTTGTAATATGCATGCCGGCTGCCTCTCCTTGAAGCAGGTTTTTGGTTTGGTGGGCCCATGTAAAGCCCACAGTCTGCCAGGGCCAAATGGAGCATCACTAGGTGAATTTCTAAAGTTACTTTTATGGCTCTTCCTGGGCTTCTTGGAGTCCCTTTTGAGGCAAACAGTCTTGCAGAAAGGTCAGTATTGAATCAGCAAAGAAATAATTTTCCATGAAATGAAGTGGAGCTGTAGATGGTCATCACTGGGGGAGGGTATGATGCCTGGTGAGAAGGAAGAAGAAAGAAGCTAGTTAGTAAGACTGGTTAGTCCATCTAGTTAACCTCAAAGGCACACAAATATTATTTGTTGTTATTACAGTTATAAAACTGTAGCTGCTACTTTCATTTTCATGTTGTAATATAACAACAGATGAAGCTAGCCCTAAAGGGACCCGTTGTCTGCTTTATTTGCGTTAGTGGTAGTCATTCTATATGTCGTCTTATAGGGTGAGGGCTTAGTAATCTGTTCTGTTACACCATATGCTAATACAGTGCTGATAAGCAAGTGTGAAAAATGAAAGGGAGGAATACATTAATTGTATTTGTGCAATAAGGTATGCTATCAAAGGCAATTATTTCATGACAGTTTTAGTTATAGCAGTTGTTTTATCATGGAATAAAAGATGGCTTTAGGAGCCTTTTATTGGAAAGACAATTGTATCAAATTAGTACCAAATTAGATTTTTGTCTTTATAAAGGTGAGCAAACCCATGAGCAGTTTTTAAATTGGTGTCTTCTACTCTACAAATGAACAAATCCTGTTTGAGGGTTAAAGAAGCTATTATTCTGTCCTTTATGCTGACAGCTTCATTACTGATTGGCCTACTGTTGGTATTAAAAAAATGTTTGGCTCCTTATGATCTTTGTGCATGCAACTATAATATTAATACAGACCACGGAACTGTTCATTAAGAAATGACTTTAAATGAGGTTGATGCTTGTAAATCTGGAGAGATACAGATGTTAAATGCTGCCATTCCTTTTCATATACAGCTGTATGGCTAATAATTTCCAAGTGGCTAAAGCTCTTGTTAGCAAGAGTGCTGGTGTGTTAAGAATGGCCCTATAAATAACTTTAAGAACTGAAGTTGAAGGTGCTTCTTTTAAAGACTATTGTTAACTAAACATTATTGCCAAACAGATGGAAAGCATTCACCAGCCTGATGTTTTTAGGTCTAATTATATTATCGCCAGTCCTGTACGGCTCAGTTGAAGAGGTGTATCCAGAGGCCAATTTATAATCATTTAGCCAACACCTGTTTGGGAGATATTGACAGTCAAAGGGCACATTTAAAAAAAAATCACATATGTTCTTGTATTTATTGCCTCAATGTGAACAGTGTCTAGTTACAAACAAACTTGGGAGAAGAAGGAGGAAAGTGACTGTAAACATATAGTTGTTTCCAAACCATTTTTAGCTTCTTTTGGCACCTCTTGTAAAGGGGCTTTTATTTTTCTCTTTTGGTTTTCTTTATTGTTTGTTTGTTTTTTTAATTTTAATTTTACACCTTTTGATTAAGCAAGGATTAAAAAAACCCAGTTTTACAGTTGTTATTTATTCAACTGGTTTCCGCTGTTTCTGGAAGTCCCAGGTAAGAGGCCTGAAAAGTTGTTCAGCAAACTCAGTGGCCTGGGGACATTTGCCTTTCCTTATCCTGCCCTTGACATGGAAACTCTGTGTCATTCCTTTGTCAAAAAATGTCAGTAACACCAACTTCTGTTGATATCTTTCTGGCCAGAAGATATAGAGCAGCTTTTAAAATTGGGTGCAACCCTAGTAAAAGAGGAGGTCTTTGAGATGGACAGGTCTTATTTGATGTGAGCTGACTTGGTCTTCACTGCATCTTGTCTATTGACTTGGAGTTGCAGCATCTTGTCTATTGAACTCAAAGTTTGGTAACCCCAGTGCTGGCATTTTGCAGCCCTTTAGGTGTTTGATTTTGCAGCCTAAATATTTTTGTGTAACTGTATGTGAATATTTCTACTGGAAGTTTACAATGTCTACTGTAAATAAACAGTGAGTGCACAGTCTTGTTCTTGTTCCTAGAGGAGGGTTGGGCTTGTGCTTGTGCTGCTCGTTGTGGCTGTCTTGCAGCTGGTGCTTTTCAAGTACGTCTGTGTTCTTGGAGTTTGAAAACAATTGATTCCAGAGCAGGGTGATTTGAAGACGGAGATGCAGAGGGTTCCAGCTCCCTAAAGATGCAGTTTGCCGAGTATATATACACATATATATTTTTTTGTTTGTTTTGTTTTCGACACATAAATAAATGGAGCTTGCTAAGAGGGTGGTCGTTATTTAGGACTTCTCTCATTGCTGTGCTGTGTTGAAAGTGCTTTCAGTAGAGGTGATGCACTCCTAACAGAGATGCTCTCTGCAGCTGTAGGTGTTCTCGCCTCTGCAGTGAACCCATCCACTCTTTTCTCCCTAAATAAATCCTTTTTTGTTGTTGTTGTTACCTTAATACTAGTTTACAGTAGCACAAAGAGGCTTCCTTGTGGCCTATGAGTGCTGCAAAACAAAAATGGCAGTGGAGGAATGAGACAGCAGTGACTATACAGTTGATAAAACATTTTCTTGTGGCCTGGGCATGTGTGTGGCCAGTTTTTAGTTTAGCTTCCTGGAAAGCAGGTATATAGCCACCCTGCAAAAAACCACCACAAAAAACCCGCCTGGTAACCTACTGGTAGGCAACACATTTGATGTATAGGAAGCCTGATGGGGAAAAGTGTTGCACTAGAAAGGTAGGTACAGTGAGGATTTAAGTGAAGCGACATAGGAAGGTAATGCTATGTGAAGGTTACTTTTTGTGCTTCATTGTGTTGCTACCATTGCGTTTCTATAAATTGGGTTCTGCTAGATTATTGCTGTAATTATAAAGTACTGGTTATTTCTGTTACCAAGTTAGGATTCATTCTTTAAGTTAGCTGATTGGGAATCAGGTGACATTCTGGTAGTTCTCTAGAGATCTATATCCTCAATCATATTTCTTTCCTAAAAAAACCCTGGTTATCAAATGTATGCTGCAGGGCTTTAATTTTTTTTTAATCGTTACTTACATCACTTCCTTAGTAAGAATATTCAACATTGGAGTTAAGAGCTGTGTTTTGTTAACTGACTCATGTGAATCTTAAATATTTCTCTGAATACTTTTTGCTTAGGTTTTGCTTGTAATGGACACTAGAACACAGCAGACTTTTATACTGAAGGTAAGTAAAGTTTTATTACTCCTCTAAACAGTTTGGCCTCCCAAATTACACCACCACACAAAGATCAATTTACGTCTAATGCATAGAGTTATCTCTGCGATATATTGATATGTTAATACATATATCCCTATTAAGCGCACTGGAATTCTTTTTGTTGGTATTCGGTTGCTTTCTGTTCTTTTCTCTGTAATGTCTCTAGTGCTCAGATGTGCCGGTTTATTCAACTTGAGTTGCCGCTGGTTATTGAGGCCAATACTTTAGCAGGCTTCGGTAAAGAACCACAGTTTCAATGTGCTGCTTAAAACATCTGTAAATCCCTTGTGGCTCAGGACATGCGCGGGCTGCTGCTGAAGGTGAAATTTCTCCTTAGCCCAAGTACATCCGCAACACTTTGTGCTTGGTCTTCCCTTAGCTGAAGAATATGATATTGGCCAAAGTGGATTCTGGATGAAATGGACGACTGGTCTTATTCAAAATTGCTTTCCTATGTTTTACATCAATACACTGTGAAAACCGAGTTTAATGTTACTAAACGATTGAATTAACGAATAGTTAATTGGTCAGAATAAAATTTTTCACATTACTCTTTTGTGTTTCAGAAAGTGCTCAGATCAGGATCCCAATATGCTCGGAGCATCTGTGATGCTGAGAATTAGTTTAGTATGAATATTGCTATTGTGGCCATTATTTCAGGCTCCCCTTGACGTGAATTGCACTGCTGACGGGAGAAGGGGCTGAAAAACTGTGCCCCAGACATGGAGCTCTAATTAATTGTTAACAATTTGTAACTTCGCTTCAGGTCTGGCTTACAACCCCGCCTTAACTTTGTGCATCTGGCCTTTGAAATTGTTTGTCTTAAGTATGGGCAGGGTACAGAAAATCTGTTTGTTCCTCAGAAAGGATTATTTGTGAATATTGTATATTAGAACCTCACTTTATCTACTGGCAGATAGGGTAACATTGAATTTCCCATTTAACTGCTTATGTTTATCAATATTGTAATAGGTCACACTATTGACATAATTTTTTTTTCTCTTTCTCTCTCCTCTCCCTTTCTCGGTCCCACATCAATTTTTTCACTTCTGGCAACTTCATCTCTGTGCTACTTCCCAAAAATCATTACCTCTCAAGGAGACTAATCCTTTCCTTTCCTTTTTGTTGTGGTGGTGGTCGTCTTTAGTAAAGTACAATGGAAATGCAAGGATTACCTGTAAGGCTAAGGCATTCTTTTGTCTTTAGAACTTGAATTGAATTTTTTAATAGTGTCTTTTGGTCACACACAAAAATAAAATTTTTAAAAAAGGTCACAGGGAAATAACTGAGTGTCATCCTGATGACTTAGTTTGAGAGAGATTCTAATAAAAACATTGACCCATGTAATTGATTTTAATGGCAGCTTTGTGCCATCTTCTGTTCTCTGGAAATGCGCCAGATGCCATCAGCACAGCCTCGGGGGACCGAGGGGCATAGAGCAGCAGATGAGTGGTTTCTCTGAAGCCCAGAGTAACTCGGATAGATTAGTTTGGTTGATAAACACAGAGCACAGCAGGCTCCAAAGGCAACTGAGGGTACAACTGACCTTTTTGTTCTCTGTCAGGGTCTAAGGAAAAGTAGTGAGTACAGCAGGAGCAGAACGACCATCATCCCCCGCTGTGTGCCCAACATGGTGTGTCTGCACAAGTACATCATCTCTGAGGAGTCTGTCTTTCTCGTGTTACAGCATGCAGAAGGTTTGTCTCTCGTTTAAGTATATTGCTGAAAAGAGTCAAAGGTTTAAGTTTTAATCAATGGTACATTTCATTGTCAAATTAATCTCTTATACATCTAATTAAAATATTTTTAGTGAGCCTAAGAGATGTCATGTAAGACACCCCACTCCCATCCTCCGTCCCTCCCCCTTTTTCCCCACTCATTCCGCGGTGGATCTGATTCCTGTTTCAAATGGCCTCAAATCCTGATGGGTTACTTGAATTCTAGCGATATTGAAAGCTTCCAACTGTTTATTTTCTACAGGAGAGTGAGTGCTTTGACTGCAACAACTATCTGTAGTATTTACAGTCATCTCTCAGAGATAAAGTCTTTGGCTACTTTTGTAAACTTTGGCAAGTAAATCTTTTTAGCATCTTACAGTTAAAATGACAAGTATTCACACAAGAATTTAGTAAGTCTCTGCAAAAAAACACGAACATTTGCCTGTTGGTTAATATTGCATAGTTATTCTGATCTGGATTTTTAAGAAAATAGCTAGTGGCATCACACAGCAGTTCAAAGCAGAACCACAGAGTTGTGCCTTCAAACTATTTATAAAATTCCTGTTAAATGTATGGGGAACAGGTGGCACAAAATAATTACATTTTGATTTTTTTGGTCTAACACCTGGATTTAAATATTCCCTAAATGTAATTACCCTTATTTGTTTAGAATGAGTGCAGAATATAAATTTTGGGATTGCTAATAGTTCTCTTTTTAGGAAATGTTAATAATTCAGTCAGAATGGATGATGTGAAGGAACTAAGCTAAGTGATAGAGAAGATAATTTTATTACATTGAATATTATTTCTTTTTTCCCTAATGACTTAGATTTTGGCTTTTTCATGAGCAATATGTCACATGAGGCCAGTTAAACTTAACTTTACAACATGAATGACTGTTTCTGCTATGTGTGACTTAATTTTGCCATAAGCAGTGATGCATGAAGAAAGGCCTCACATTACAGTACTGCCTGATGGTGATCTCGAGGGTTTACAGTGCTGCTTTGTCCAATGCTACTTTTCCTGAGGTGTGTGTAATTCAGCTGAATGGAGACTCTCACCTGAACTGTAATCTCCACATAAGTTAGTACATTTTGTTTGGAGAAATAATATTTAACACCCCCCCCCCCAACCAAAAAAAACCCTGAAAACCCAACCTTGTCAGATACCAACTGCCCTTAAGACTATCATAATCAAAGGATTAGAGACAGGATGAAACAATGACTTAAAAAAACTGTTCTTAATATTTCTGCAATTTCTGAAGACCTACAATTCTGCTCTTCTCTTCAGGAAGAATGTTCCTTCTCAAGCTAGATAGAAAACTGGGTGAAGTTGTAGTGGAATTTGGGGGAGTAGTGATCAGATGGAGAGAACAAAAATTTTAAGGAAGGTTTAATGTGACCAGTTGACAAAGATGATCTCCTGGAAGTGATAATTTTATTGTGACAACAGTGAGAAAAATGGAGACATTGCATGATCAGAGCTCTTTCATTTAAGAACAGAAACCTCAGCTTAACATTTGGGATGGATGGGGTGCTGTCCTTAAAAAGGAATGAGTCTCTCCTGGTCATCTTTGACATAGTCACAAGTCCAGTGAAATGTGCTTGGCCTGGATGTCTTGCTTTTACCAACATCGGCTGTAACATGTTTTGAATTCTATGGGGGAAGGATTATTAATTTACTAAGTGCCTTCTAAATCAGGTTTGTGCAACACCCAGCCTTGTGCAACACCCCACACCATTTGTTTGATCTGCCAACAGTGAAGGTGGTGTCTGTCAAGCACCCTCATTTTGGCTGGCCAGGCAGCAAACACATACTCAAAGGCAGCCACAGCTTATGTTGCCTTTCTCCCAGCCGTGGGTCTAACACGTGCAAGTAGGAGACATGGGGGGGAGATGGGTTATTTTGAGGTGGAGTTGGGAGAGGAGGTGCAGACGAGATGAGTGCTTTCTACAGGGAGAGCCCTGAAGGGAAACAGGGCGTAGGGAGCGTGGGAAGAACTGGGGAGCATTGCAGAGAGGATGGAGGACTGGCAGGCCGTGCTGGGGAGGAAGGGGAGGGCTGTGGGGACCAGAAGGGATTTCGATGGCAGTGAGGGCTGTTGTTGGTAATATATGGTACGTGGGTTCACTTGACTTGGACACTTGTGGTTATAAGTTATAAACTGCATAGGGTTTTCCCTTATTTTCTGATAAAGCAGCAAGTAGTTTGGAAGTGGATTCACCTCTATCCTTGTTCGCAAACCATTCAAAAATTATGATGTGCTATAAGGACTTTTCTCTGATTTTCAGGGAAGTAACAAGATTAATTTCTTTAAGGATAGTCGCCTGCTTTCATGTACTTACTGACTGGGCTCAGAACAGGCAAAGGGAGATGAAAATGACTGATATATTCTGTTCTGAAGAGGGATAGCTGGGGTACAAAGTCATGAGTAAATTGCCTGAGAATGCATACAAAAAAGTATATTGCAGGTGTAGGGCCTGATCCCAAATACCTAACTGGGGCAATGATTTTTTGTTGCCATCTAGAACTGCATGGCCTCTGCACGTCACCCTGTCCCAGGAGACAGTTGCTGGAAAGTGATTCAGGAGAAAGGCTTCATTTTCAAGCTTTGGAATGCCTATAGATAAAGCTGTCTTAAAATTTCATCCATCAGACCAAATATAAATAGAGAAGGTACTTGTAGTTTATTTTGGGAAAGGATAGAAATTTCTAGGACAATGCTTTTTAAGTGATAGTCTGAAATTTTATTCCATAATTTCATGAATGCTCTCAACATTCATACTGCAAGTAATTCTGTTCCAATAGGAAAGAAGATACTGCCAGTCAAATTTATAAGTATATTACTTTGTGGTGATTTATTATGTTAGGTATGTTAGCTGCACCATTGGAAAGTTCAAGAGTAAAATATTAATTTAAGTGGGCAATGGCTTGAATTACAGCAAATTCAGAGGAGGTTTTAATGTTACGTATAGACATTATGTATTTGCTAAGCAGCCTGCTATTTCCTGTTCGTAGTAAATTTTAGCAGTATTAAGTGCAGCACTACTGGGTTTTGTATGGAATTCTGAAAGCTTGACCCCAGAGTCTTGCTCAAGATGAAGACCTTTTTTGTTTGTTTGTTTTTAAATCATGATGCCATTGCATGCTCAGAATGGGTGAGTGAGGTCTTGGGTTCTCTTACAGGCTTTTCTCATGGCCACGGTTTGAGGCTTCAGGGGTGTCTCAGGAGCATGAAAGTCCATAAAGTTATCTTGTAGCTTTGTTGGAAAGCACTTGGCAAATTCTAGTGTGGTACAGAGCCAATCTGATGTTAATAAGGCCTCGCTTCTTCTTGGCAGTACTAATTCCAGAAATTTTAGAAACAGATGCTTCAAAAATAGGCTGGGGGGCTTCCATGGGACATCAAAGTTTAAGTGGCTGTTAGAAGCTGTCAAATCTCTTTAAGCATAAACAAGCTGGAGTTCCTCTCAATCTGGAGAGCACTCAAGAAACTTCATGCTGAAGAGGCATGCTGCACGCAGGAATTGATAGACAACAAGGCGGTAGCATTCTGGCTTGCAAAGCTGAGGATTTGTTTTTGGGAAAGGAGATAGTACTAGCTGTAAAGATTCGACAGCGATCGGAAAATGTGGGAAAGATGATATGGTCCTTGGCAAGTGACTTTTTCAGGAGGCTGCTTTGAAATAATAGCTTTTGCTCAAAGTACATCGGGAAGTGGGAGCTTTGCCTAAACTAGCAAACTTTGTAGCAGAGATTCACCAGCAGCAGTGGAAACAGCCATGTGTATAAGACTCTGGTGCTTGTAACTACTGTCATGTTAGAGATTAGGTTGGAGATTAGCTGAAGATTCATGTGTATGCTGCAACCCCACTGTGACTGCCGTTGGGATGCTGTGAAATGTTATTGTTGTACCATGGTAGTGCCTACGTGTCTGGTTCCCTTTTGGCCTAGAAACTGTACAAGCATAATTTTATGTAATCATTGTATTTTAACATGATCAAGTTTACCAGTAGACATGTCTTTATTGAAAAGGAGGACAGTGATTCTAAGAAAACCATAAGGTTGTTCTTTCTCCAGCAAGGAAGAATATTAATTCTCACGAGGTGCATGACGTATGATTGGTACTCCTGGCCATAAACAAATTCTTATGCAGTGATGTAGAGACTTGGGCCTGGTTTTGGAGAATAATTCAAGCAGATGTCTTTCAGTACTCTGTTTTCCTTCCCTAGCCGATCACAATTATTTGGAAGCCTGGATTCTTCACTTTGATTTTGTTTGGGATTTCCTAAATACAGTGATTACTGCATTCTTAGCTGCATTCCAGTTCTGCAGGAATTGGAGTGTATCGTCCTTCAGAGTAAACTCATGGGCCAAACTAGCAAAAGCCATTGATTTATTTTGGAATATCTCTCCTTAGTCAGCCAGTCTTTCAGAATATGAAGCTGAAATGTTAAGTGTCTGAGCACCGGGTGAGGAAAAATCCAACAGGTCATGAATTTTTCTTGTCAGCTAGAACAAAAATGTGTTTAGGAGACTAAATTTGCTATCTGTTAAGTTTCATTTTATCCTATGATATGTACTATACGGTCTCTGTATGTTCTTCTCTTTGATGTTCCCACGTCAAGTGCTATTAATAACAAAAAACTGCAGAAATGTTTGAAAGAATATAGAAATATTGTGGAACTAACAAGATTTCTAGCCAGTTTCATCACTTCTTCACTGTATGCTGAAATTTCCTGTTGATTATTTTGGACACTAACTTTTTAGATTCTGCCTCTTGAAGCAGAGGTATAACCTCCAGAATGCTGGAAATGTGGTTAAGTAAGGCAATTCTAATAAGTAATTTTACATTGAATAACTGCAGAAGAATGTAGAGCTTGGTGATTTTCATGTGCATGGTAGAAGAAAATAATCTTAATTAGTTATGGTAATACTGTACTTCTGAAATTGTATTAAACACTAATAAACTTTAGCTTAAAACGGTAGCTTTTATAGTTATTTAGTATGTTAGACTATTTGACAATGACTGAAGCTTACTTGTTTGGATTGATTTCTGTAATTTTAGTTTTTATAGATTCCTGATGCTATATTAGCATGGCTTGCTAATGGGTTTTCTTGGTCTTACACAACACACGGGGAGAGGGGGAAAGATTATTAGTATGTCATTCATAAAGGCATAATTATATACCCAGATACAAATATCACTCTTGTTTGACCCTGGATTGGACATTTTCAGAAAGGAATAAAATTGTTGTTGTTCACTATAGAACACAATTATTGAATAGCATTTATTTACGTATTTCCACTTGACCAGGAGGCCAGTCTTGAAATATTTGTATGTAAACATATTTGGACATAATTTTTTTTTAATTTACTTGCATTTAACTCTAAATTGGAGTTGCAGTAAGTCATTTCCACTGTGATTTCTAAGTCCAAGTGATTATTAGTGAGCAACTTCTTCTTTAAAAAGGTAAGATAATACATTTACAAATAAAGAATGAGTCATTGTTGCGGTTCTGTCTGTTTTCACAGGTGGGCAGTAGTGAATTCCTGAGTACTGTAAGGATAAAGAGACTTTATTTGTCTTTTGCAAATTTTAGGTTTGCTGAAAGCACTTGAAATTGAACATTTTTAAAAACATAGCCTGAACCTCTTGATTCTTCCAGTGATTTTTCTGTGGGGTTTTGAAGGATTGATCTCAACGCATCTGTTTTCCTTCCTTAATCCTTCTTGGGTCTCCTTCTTTCTTAAGCTACACTAAGACTTCAAGTAGAGGCCAAAATCTAGTGGAGGCTGCATGAAATCTTGCATGAAGTGTGGTGGAGGGAGCAGAAGACAGGAGTTGTCCTGAGAGCAGCTTGACCTGTCTTTAGGTGAAAAGCTAAGTTGTGTGAGGATAATTCTTGCACTTCTCATACTGCCGGGCAGCCCAGCCCCTTCCTACCTTAATACAGGGGTACGAAACATTTAGGTCAGTGAGAGCCGTTCAGATGTCACACGTAAAAGCACACCTAGTGTCCAGTAATGACACAGGAAAAAAAGTGACAATAGATCACAGAAATAAGGTTTTGAGCTTTCTGCATCCCTGGGTCAAAACTCAACCCAGGCCTCCATTAGAAAGACATTTCCTTACTACTTGCATCTGGGGAAGGACTGATGGTGCTAATCTTTTCATTTAAAGCTGTGCCTGAAGGCTGAGGTGCTGTTGTGCCAGGCACTGTCCAAAGCTGCAAAAATGTACTGTGGGTCTTCGTGGGTCATGTTCTGTGAACACCCTTTGAAACCAGAGATTTCTGTTTCATAAGAAATTTGTGAAGCACAAATAATAAACACTAGTAATATGAAGATGGAAATATTTAGCATTTGCTTGTACTAATTAATATAATGCAGGTGGGATGGGGAGACTTTGTGTTTTATTAAATGCAGCAGGGGTGTGGTTGTCAAATGAGATTTTATTGTTTGGTATGAAACAACCCTGAATAATTCCATGCCTAGTTAATAAACTGGGCAAAGTTATTTTGCAAGCACTGTTTACTTAAAGTAATTTAATGGAAATTTTAAAGAAAATTAATTGTTATAAAAATATTGTTCCATCAGAATCTTGGGGTAAAATTAAACTTTTGTGTTGCTTCTTTTGTCGTGGATGAAAGCGTGGCAAAGAGGAGAAAGTCTTTCACACATATATAAAAATATGTGTGTTCTTGCTCTTTCTCATTCTCTTTTCTGTTGCTTTCTCTCCCAGCCACTCCACAACAAAAGCATGAATAAATGTAAAAATGTAACATTAGAAAAAAAATTATTGGTGATTATGGGATGAACAACTTCTGTTTTTACCAAATCAGTTTAAAACCAGTAATTCTGAAGTCCTATGCAAGCTGCAGGGCTCAGAAAGCACGGCAGTGCCCTGGCTCT